TTGTTGTTAAGTACTGTGGAGTTGGTTCTGGCTCATAGTGACTCTACACAGGGTTTCCAAGGCTGTAAATCTTTACGGGAGCAGACCGCTGTGTTGGGATATTTACACCATGGAAATCAGCAAATGTTAAAAATCAATGTTCTCCCACAGCCCAGGAGAGTTTGTTTACCAGCTACATCAGTTTCCCCATCTGTAAAATGGATTTCGTAGAATTGTGAGCATGAGCTACTAAAACATACAAAGAATCTAGCTCCATACATGGCACATACACTGCCATTGAGTCGATTTGGATCCTGTAGGCCGAAGAACTGCTCCAAGACTTAGGTCCTATTGGGACAGTCCATCTTCTTCCTTGGAGTGGCTGGTGGATTTGAACCATCAACCTTGTGTTTAGTAGTCCAATACTTTACCCACTCTGCCACCAGAGAGCCTTTGGCACATACTAAAATCTCCAAGCCAAGCCCAGTGGCATCAAGTTAATTCTGACTCATAATGACTCTGTACAGGATTTCTGAGGCTGTAAATCTTTATGGGAGCAGAAAGCCTCATCTTCCTCCTTTGGGGTGGCTGATGTGTTTGAACTGGCGACCTTGTGCTTCTCAGCCCAGCACTTACCCTGCAGCATTTCCATAATTTTAGCTGATATCTGCCTAATAAGAAATCCTGGTAGCATAGTGGATTATGAGCTGAGCTGCCAATCACAAAGACAGCAGTTTGAATCTACCAGGTGCTTTTAGGGAGAAAGATGAGGCTTTCTGCTCCTGTAAAGATTTGCAGCCTTGAAAACCCTGCTACATACAGGGTTGCTATGAGTCAGAACTGACTCCACAGCATACCACCACTACCATCTGGCTAATGCCCTAGACCAGTGAGGACGGTTTGAACCATAAGGTTGGTGGTTCAAGCTGACAAGCCGTTCCTCAGAAACCCTATACAGGGTCTCTATGAGTCAGAACCTACTCAATGGCACTTAACAACAACAACAACGTCATTTACAGGTTACTTACTGCTTTGGATAGTTTTGGGGTTGATGTCTTCCACTTGGAACAGTGGAATCTTGGGTGAGGGTACATGGTTGGTTGGTGCTATTGTTTAAGGCCAGGTCACACCCCAGAAGGACTGGGAATGTTTTAGGGCCTCTCTCAGGGCGCAGGTTTATGATGAAATGCAGGTAGGTGGGTCACCGATAGTAAGGGCAGTAGGTAAGCTCTCTAGATTGATGTTGGCCTTGGACCCTAAGAGCCCGATTCCTTAGCATTTTTAGTTTGAAGTCTGCCTAATAGATGGGAAGGGACAAGTGAATCCCTCTGCTTATCACCCCCAAGCAATGGGAATGGAAGAGCCCAGTCATAAAAGGGGAGCTCAGAAGTCAAGTTAGTGGGGAGCCAGCCTTGTGTGTGGGGGGCATTCACGTGGGCTCCTTTCCCAGGCTTTGCGCTGAAAAAAAAAATTTTTTTTTTTCTTTTTTTGCCA